GAATGAAATCATAGTTTTTTATTATTTTTTTCCCTTCAGAATACCAGAAAATAGTCTAAGTCCAAAAATTCAGTGATCAAGATAGTAATAGATCATTGTCAGAATGCTTTAGCATCAACGTGGAGTTCCTCATTATGTAATTTACTCCAACTTAATTTTATTTCTTCTCTCTTAGATCTAAGTATTTTCCTCTTCTCAAGCACCCTTAATCTATATTTTTCTTTTAAGATGAGAGACAGAGTCTCTAAGTGTTTGGATAGGACACTGTAAGATTGCCTCATCTTAATCCTCTGTTAATAAAAAGTTCTTGAGAATAAACTGATACCATATCCAAAAACCTATTGCACTGTTTGAAAAAGTGAATGATTGTACTCACCGCGAATCATGCATGCTATGTCATGGGGATGTTGCAGGTACTGAGGGTCTATTACAGGTTCATTAGATGGATCAGCATCATTTAGTGTTACAATACCTCTGCTGGAAGGTAGTAGACAGGAAGCCAAGAGTACAAAGCCTTCCTGTGTCTTGTTATGGCTAAATGGAAAGAGGGCGTGGAATGTCTGCAAATGATATAAAAGATTAATCCAGTTAGAATTACTACGTTTGGAAGGACAGGAGGCTTGAAGCCCCCCCCCTTTTTTTTGATCGATAAATGAGAAAAAATACATTCATTTGTTTCCACACCTCTTGTTTGTAGTTTGCAATATCTCGGAATATCTTTTCGTCTGTGGAGCCAAAACCAAAGAGTAAAAGTCCAAGATCTGTTTCTGCTGTGCCCACACCAACAAGACCTGAAGAGGCTAATAACCCTGAAATTGTCAAATCAAATTCAGAAATGCTGCTTATAGATAATTTTTTATAAAAATGTAACTTAATTTAACCTAATTCAGTCTGAATTTTTAACCAGTGTAAAATTGATACTTTGATGCATCTGGGTCTGTTATGTTTCTTCTGTCCTGAAGCACATTATATAACATGGCACAACTGCTTACTGTATTGACTGATGTCTCTGACCTGGATTTGGGAATTTATGTCTTTTTATGGTTTTCTCAAATTTTCTAAGTGATATAGTATCTTAATGCATGCTATGTCAATACAGAAGTACAGAAAAGAAAATCATCTATTCTGAAACCTATTCCAGTGAACAATTTTGGTAGTTTTGTAGCCAAAGTTTGTTTATTAAAAGAAATTTATACAAAATTACCAAAGTAATTAGAAACGTGTAAGAAAAATTTTATACAACAGTAAACCAATACAGACTGTAGCATGCAGACCTAGAGGTAAAGAGAAGTTTATGTATGATCTGAAGCTTTCATGGCGACTAAGTATAATGAATTCTTTTTGGGCTACTAGCCATGTCGGGTGGTTGAATGGAGAAAACACCAACATTTTGAGAACCATCTTTGTCCTCGTTCTCAGGGTACTGAAGTTCAGTGTCCTGAGAACGAAGAAAAGTTTAGTAGGACCACTGAAAGGTTGTCATAAAACTGTAACCAGCCATGTGGCTTAATACCTGGGGGTGAGGGGTAATGATTACCACTGTGTATACACTATTACTGATTTGATTGTATTTATGTGATTATTTCACAGTCAAGTCTTTTCAAATAGAAAGACTGTCTTTCAGCTAGGAATACTTGTACATAGTGATCCAAAGTCTCTGAACTGTTCTGAAGGTGAATGAAATGAACACATAGTATCGTTGTAACACCTCCATAGAAAATATTTCTTTTTGCATATCCAAACCTTCAAAGGTGCATACAGAATAAAAAATCTGGTTAGATGAAGAAATATGCTACATTGTATGATGGAGGTTAAAAATCTCACCTTTTCCATGAATCATGTAATCCCAAAATTGATGTACTTGCTGAACCTTATTGATTGTGACACTGACTGGTGTTTCCAAGCTCACATACAGAGGCATATTGAGATGATCGTGTAGGTTGAAGCCAACGTTAAGATCTGACACAACTGGGATCTGAAACAGGTTTTCTGTTAATGCCTTTTAGTATCTAAAATAAGATTATTTAAATGACACAGTTTATGTAGTACTGAGTTAGATGTGAAGATAACTGTACATTTAAATAGTATAGGTTTTAAACTTTGTTATTCATGAATAGGGGGTTTAAACCCCCATAGTAAGGGGCTGCTAGCTAGATTTTACCTTTGAGTTTAATGGTTTACCAGTATTACAGTGTGACACATGGACAGAAGGATGATTCATATATGAAATACTACAGTGATCTGTAGTATAAACCATAATCACAGATCCATGTTGGTTCTTTACCAAGGTTTTTATTTAATTTGCCAGATCAAGAAATGATAGTAGTACATTCCTCCACTCAGATTTTACTTGTGTGATGTAGGAGGGACATGACATTGAAACTCACCCCATATTTATGTAGGTGAGCCTGTGGCCCAACTCCTGACTGGAGTAGGATATGTGGTGTATTGATGGCACCAGCACTTAACACAACTTCTTTACGACTTCTAACAAATTTTGTGGACAAGTCACCTGACATCCTCAGTTCCACTCCTTGCACTACTCTTGCATTATCAAACACCACCTGTTAATAATAACACAATTATTAACCCTTCTGAAGACTGAAACCCACTGAGCTATTTAGTACCTGCTTAGCATATTTGTTCAACTGATTGTGGTCTTTTGCCATTTTCCTTGATCCTTCAATCCTCAGTCTTCTATCAAGAATCTATAACAGGATTAAAAGTGAAAGTAAAAGATGAACAAATATGTAATTGAGCCCAAAGTACTCAGTATAGAGGAAGATATGACCAGGATTCAGTCCCCAGCAGGGGCAGATTTTTTGTATTTACAACCAAATTCAGACTGGTCTGTGTCTGACCCAATGGGTACCAGGGGTAGAGCATCCAGGGTGTGAATTTAACTACTTACCTTACTTTAAATTTGCATGCTTACCATTCTTACAAAAAAATAATGTTTTTTTATTTTGGATAACCTTGATTTATATAACTGTGACTCACAACTTGCTAATAACATGCCACTGCATACAAGCATAGATGATAAATGAGCATGAGGCATTTATCATCTTTCCTGCTACCCGTAAGAAGTTCTTGATTTGGTGGATTGACATGTGTAGTGGTGTAGATTACTTATTATGAGTGTGTGTGATGTATGGTACCTTAGTAACTCGGGTGTTCAACAGCACTTTTAAGTTGTGTTGTCCTAATGTAGGGCGAAGATATCCATCCAGACTGCTCCAGCGTTGCCCTTTGTACACCGTGCTCTGAACTGTAGAGAAACTGAGACCCTTGAATGCCATTGCTAGTTCATTACCAGCATCTATGAATGCTTTTCCAAGCACAGAGTTGCCAACATCTACATGTGAAATATGCATCCTAGGCTGGGCCTGTAACATAGTAGAAACAGTCAACACATGAAGTGTGTATGGTAAACCATTTGCTGATAGAATAATATGACTTAAAGGTATGTGTGAATATTAGAGTTATAATGGAATACCTTAACTCTTTTGCAGTTATTTTGACTCTTTTGATGAAGTGAGGTAGTGTGCAGACCTGCTGCAGACATGAGGAGGATCTGATAACTGTTGAGGCAGTATGGCTGCTTTGCAATGCATTGATACTCTGTACCTAACATCTTTGACACATAGGGCTGTAATTGTCTCAGCCCCCACCCAGTTGCCCCACTATCCTCCCAACGAGAAAAATCTTCTTCACTCCCTGTATAATGTAACATGTAGTTCATCTGCCCAGTGCCTCCTAGCCCACGACCACGTGGACATGCTGAACTCTGGAAATTTGCATTTTACATTGAATATCATATTATTATTAACTGTATTTTTGATTCCCAGAATGTAATGAACAGATTAAATTATTTTAAATTTAATTAGCTACATTTTAATTTGCAGCAGTGCATCTCTCATAACAAATTAAATACAAATTCAACATCTGTGAATGAGGTATCTTGGTTAAACACATCATCCCTTTGATTTGAACATATTTTATAAAATCAATGAGAGAAACATGTTCCCTTATCTTCCAGACAGAATTATTTTTAATTCAAAACAACATGATAAGGTTTAATTAAATGAATGTCCATAATTGAATGATGCTAAACTTTTAGTGTAATTTCTTCAGTCTCAGTCAGAATACTTACATGTCACTGGCATTAATTCTATTTGTCATACTGACCTGGTTATTGAGTCCCCAGGAGGAATGAACTTGAGACTTTGTGTGATATGCCCAGTCATGAGCGGAGCCTTGTAGCATTGGTGTAACAAGAGGAACTGAACTGAGCCAGTTGAAGTATTCTCCTGCCTCAACCAGTAATACTGAATGGTAAGGATTAGCACTCAATCTGGCAGCCAGGACACAGCCAGCAGTACCACCTCCCACTATAAATTGTGAGTACAGGTATGAATAATTACCATAGAGTGTTGGTCCTGGTCACAGATTCTCAAACAGTATCTTACAGCCCAGATGATGGATGCATTTCCTCTGAAATGTTGGTATCTACCTACAGCTTGACATGGCATACATAAGTAAAGACCAATATTCACATGTCTTGAAAAAGTTTATTAAACACTATAATTACTGTATAATTAATGTGTGTGTATAGAAACAAAGTAAATGATAAAACATCTCAAATCTGATCTTCCCATTGCATCCATGAACATATCCTGGTGTCTATCTCATGCAGAAGCAAATTACAATTGATATTTAACACTACTAGAAAAGGCCCATTTAAATTTGGTGGGAAATGATTTCTTCCATGTATTCATCATTTACCCTCTTTTTACCTTCCTGTATCCAACTTTCCTATCCTTCCTTTTCCCATGTTTGTTTACCAACCCTTCCAACTTGAAGAAGAATGAAAAATATTAGCAGTAGCATCATTCCAGCATTTTAATCACCCTGATTAGAAGTATTTCTTATTGTCTAATGGTAGCAGAACTATTTATAGACTTTAAGAAAGCCTATGGCTCAGTTAAGAGAGAAGCTGTACAATAATTTTCTTGAATTTGGTGTAGCTAAGAAGCTAGCGAGCCTAATTAAAATGTGTTTAAGTCAAACCTCTAGCAAAAGTTTTGTAGGTAAACATTTGTCCAATACATTTCCTATTTAGAATGGCCTGAAACGGAGATGCTCTATCACTGCTGCTTTTCAATTTTGCCTTAGAATATGCCATCAGGAAAGTATAAGAAAATCAGGGTGATTTGAAATTGAATGGGACACATCAACTTTTGATCTATGCTGATGACATTAATCTGTTGGGCAATAATATAAATACTATAGAAGCAAACACAGAAACACTCCTAAAGGTTAGTAGGGATGTTGGTCTAGAAATAACAGAATTCAGGACAGAACCAGAATATAAGGATAGCTAATGAATCATTTGACAACGTGACATAATTCAAGTACTTGGGGACAACACTAACACGTAAGAATGACATACATGACAAAATCAAGAACAGATTAAATTCAGGGAATTCTTGCTGTCATTCAGTCCAAAATCTTATTTGTCCTCCTGTCTCATACCAAAAAAATCAAAGATTAAAATATACAAAAGTGTAATTTAGCCATTTGTGCAGTATGGGTGCAAAACTTGGTCTCTCACTCTAAGGGAGGAACATGAATTGAAGGTTTTTGAGAACAGAGTGTTGAGGAAGAATGGACCTAAGAGGGAGGAAGACAGATTATGGAGAAGACTGCATAATGATGAGCTTCAAGGCCTGTATTCCTTACCTGGTATTGTTAGGGTGATTAAATCGAGGAGGATGAGGTTGATAGGACATGCAGCACGCATGGGGAGGGGAGGGGTGTTTACATGGTATTGGTTGGGAGGCCTGAAGGGAGGAGACTGCTGGGAAGACCTAGTTGTAGGTGAGAGGCTAACATTAAGATGGACCTTCAGGAGATAGGAATCGATGCAGCAAACTGGATGCAGCTAGCTCGGATAGAGTTCGGTGGTGGACTTTTGTCAATGTGGTGATGAACCTTCAGGTTCCATAAAGAAAGTGGGCTCATCTTTGACAAGTCAAGTATACAATCGACTTTCAAAGAATTTTCTGCACGACAGAGTGAGTGAATGGTAGCAGCACTTGTAAAATAGACAATTCTGCCATCTAATTTCATTGCTGAGTAGAGTCATATAAAACACACACAGTCACTCAACCATAAACTGCATTATATTATACAGATATAGATTACAGCTTATAATATTCAACATCGTCATAATTCTTACCTATGATATAATCATAGTGAGACTCTGGCATCTCAATAATACCACGTTGAGAGCTAATTCTTGAAGACCAGACCACAAGCCCCAACATTACACCAACCATCAGAGTCATTATCATACTATACACTGAAACAATATAAACTAGTACAGGTATTTGCTGTTGATGTGCAACAGATTTACTTATGCATATATTGCAGGGATGCCATTGACATTGATATTTTAGTTCATTATTGATATCTTATATTTTGTTTATGTCAGTATTGTTATATTTAAATAAATGTTTAATATTACATTGTCTATAGTAAATGCCCCTTAGAGTTAACTGAATGATTGCTGGTCCAATTGCCTTCACTACTAATGCTGATTTAACCACATAGCAAGCCAAAAACATTTGGGTGAAACACATCAAAATATCAGTAGTAAATGTTCCAGTCTGGATTAACAGTGCACTGCCAGTCTGCTAAAACTGGAGGAATATAAAAGAAATGTTTTACTGTATAACACAACAGCAGCATATTATTATTGTTGTTGCATGCAACTGTGGCATGTGTGCAGTAGCCTGTTCTCTAACATTCCCAAGTGAAATTAGAAGAATCTTAGTCATCAAGAATGGTGTCATACAGCCTACAACTCCTGATAAATATCTGGAAAGGTGTGAAGCATTGCAGCACTTTCGTGGACCATATATGCTCATATAAAAGTGCATGGGCCATACAGCATGAATTATTGTTACTGTTATGACATACCTCATCATTGTGTTTGCCCAAGTATTAAACTTTGTACTTCCATTTCATAATTAAAATTACTTTTTGTTCAGTTTTTAAAAGATTTACTTTTGCATAAAAACCACAGCAATCAGCCCTCTGAACACCATACATGGATATTTCTATATTTGTTGGTTCTCAGTTGAGTTTACTTTTTTCCCTCTGTGCCCCTCTTCATTTAGCCATATAACCTTATCCTTCATCTTCCTATATGTAGTCTTGGCTTTATTTATGTCTGAATGTGTCCTTGGTATTACCTTCTCATTCACATGATGTTGACCGAACTGCCACCAGCATTCTTCACATGAAAATAACCACTGCCACCGGGTAAAAACCCATTTGCAGTCAAATAAATAATAATAATAAATAATAACTTACTGAATCAATTTACACTTGGTAACAAGAAGGCTGATTTATAATCATGATTAAAATTCCAGCCAGACCAGTCTAGTCCACAACCTTCCACCCTATTTCCTTGCAACCAAAATTTTGTATGCATTTTTAATTTCCCACATGTTACATGCCCTGCCCATCTTACTCTCATTGATTTCATTATCCAAATATTTCAGGTGTACAAATTATGAAGCTCCTTATTTTTCAACTTTCTCCATCCTCTTGCCACTTCATTTGTCTCACAATTGTTGGGTCCATATATTCTCAGCACCATGTAATCAGATGTCATCATTCTATTTTCCTCCCTTGATGTGAGAGACCAAGTTTCACACCCATACAAAACAACAAGTGAAGTTACAGTTTTGTATATTTTATTCATTGTATGTTCACATCACAGAGGCAGCAAGCATTCTCCCAATTTAATCTGCTCTTAATTTCTACATGTATGTCATATGTTTCAAAATTCAATGTTTATTGAGGGCTGATGATTGAGGCAGTATGTTCCTTTGAAATGCTGGTGTCTACCTACAAATTCATATAGCATTACAACATGGAAGACTGACATCAACATCATCATAAAAACCTCAAATCTCATATCATTGCTTGTTGGCAATTAATTTTAACAATTATCAATGAAATGGCATCCCTAAAATACTTTGTTTATTACTCACATGCTTGATTTGACAGTAGAGATGACACTTTTCCCATCTTGTGTGTTCAGTTTTCAACCTACAATTCTTCAAAAGGTTTCTGAAATGTGTGACTATGACTAGAGCATACATAAGGCTTCTGACAGCCATAACAAGATATATGAGACATGAAGCAACTCAGCAGGATTAATTCCCAGTATTACTAAATACTACAATAGCAGCAGCAGCAACACAATGAAGGCTACACATTGATTTTTCCTCCCCTCCTCATGATTCAAAAAGCAGTATCTTTGAACTCTGACATATCTGTTGACCCTAATTAACTCTTAAGTGCTCATAAAGATAAAAAGCTGTGCTAACAGTGCTCTTTCATTTGTACACACTACAAACTCACTGTTATTCTGTTCCAAGTTATGTAATGTATGACTAAGATTTCTATAAAGTAGTGATGGTCTGATGTGCTGACATTTTAGTTTCAGAAGATTGTATAAGCAAAGTTTGAGATGTATTAGCTCTACAATTTATCTGTAACATAACAAAATTACACAAGATTAAAAGTTTTGTGACTTCATTTCATTCAGGCAATTACAGAAAATACCTTGAAATAGATCTTGTTTCCTCCTATCTTTTATGCAGCACAACTTTCACTTGATATAACATTGTTTAATAAAAGCTCAGAAATTCAATTTTATAGTTGTCTTTTTAATTCATCATGTTATGTAATTCCTTCCTGGCAATCTTTAAAGATGCCTCACTTATTAACTGTCTAGAAACAGGTTAGAATACTATACAAAAGTACCAATAGGATAGTCATTTATGATATGTAGTAGCTAGACTGTAGCTCATCTAATCTAGTCTAGTATTCTTTCATACCCTGATCAGTGGATTCCGAAGTGACCTTTCCTTTATTGCTCAGGCAGTCAACCATGAAGCTAACTATCAACTGTAATAAATTTCTAACATGCAAGACTTTCTTTATATCCTCTGAAACCTGTTTCATGGTGCTTAGATACAGCAAGTATTATTCCTTTGAAGCAAAAGCTCGCCTAAACATTATTTAATAATTCAGACCATACCCTAAAAGAAAACATAACTTCTACATTGCAAAGTAGAGTAGAGTAGAGTTTATTTACATTCCATAGATCCTTCTTAGGATTCAACCAAAGGATGTAGATCATGTCATTTCATACAATATACATAAACTTCAGAACTTTCAACACAAGTACAAGAATGTATTTCATATATCAATGTACATAAACTTCAGATTCTGCAATACAAGTATGAAAAATAATTTTACAAATTAATATACATAAACCTCAGAATTTTAAATTTTAAATAGAAATACAAAACTTGCTTTACGTACAGATTATAGATATACATAAAGCTTAAAAATTTTCAGCAGAGATGAAATCATCTAAAGAATAGAAAGAGTGAGTGAAGAGGCAATCTTTCAATGCACGCTTGAATACCTTTATATCATAATTCAGACTTTTAATTGTTGATGCAAGATTATTAAATAACTTGATACCTGTATAGTACACTCCTTTTTGATATATGGTAAGATTAGCATTTGTTTATGTCTTGTATTTAAATTATGTACATCTGTATTTCTTTTAAATTTATCCAAGTTTTCCACCACAAAATGATAGCAAGCAGAGTATAAATTCACTTGCAAGTGGAAGTATATTAAATTTATGAAATAATTTTCTACATGATACCCTGCTTTTGACACCTGCCATTATTCTAATTATTTTCTTTGTTACTGTCTGTTGAATTTCCCCAAAAGATTAATCCATATGACACTACAGAGTGGAAGTAAGCAAAGTAAACTAGCTTTAAAGTATCTATTGTCATGAGTGGTATGACTGTTCTCATGGCAAAGCATGCAGAGCTTAATTTGGGAATAATATACTCAATGTGTTTCTTCCAATTTAAGGTATTGTCAACTTGTAAGCCAAGGAATTTGTTTGTTTCAATTTCCGCAATTAGTCAAACATTGACCTGGAATTAAGAAAGATTTTTCTGAAGTTATATGTTTGGAGCACAGCACTATATGGAAGCGAAATATGGTCAGTGGAAAAGCCAGAAAGAATGATAGAAGCATTTGAAATGTGGTGCTATAGAAGGATGTTGAAAATTAAGTGGACTGATAAAGTACAAAATGAGCTGGTCTTGGACAGGATAGGAGAAGAAAGAAGTCTATAGAAAAATCTTACAAGAAGAAGAGATAGGATGGTGGGACACATTCTGAGGCACCCAGAATTGGTTAATTTGGCAATGGAAGGAACAGTTGAAGGTAAGAATAGGGGGAGACAAAGATTGGAATTTGTGACGCAGATTTTTGAGGATGTGGGTTGCAAAAAATATGTGGAAATGAAGAGATAGGCGAAAATGGAAGACCACGTCAACCCAGTCGAAAGACTGATGACAAACAAACAAAAAACAACAACAATGTCTTGTACTTAGTAACAAGTTTTATGAAGATTTCTGTCTTCTGGGTTGTTGCGCTGTGTAGTCTGGTCGATCTTAACCAACGTTTCAGAGGTCATACTGCCTCCGTCATCAGGGCGATTCAAAACCCTGATGACAGAGGCAGTATGACCTCAGAAACATTGATAAACATCGACCAGACTACACAGCACAACAACCCAGAAGACAGAAATCTTCATACTCACCGCTGTGAAAACCTCAGATCTTACTTAAGTTTTATGAAGTTTGTTTTTTTCAAAATTTAGTGTCAGTTTGTTAGCTCTAAACCATTTGTTTATGTTGGCAAAGACATCATTCATGATATTTTCAAGATAGCCCAATTCTGAGTGTGTAATAATGATACTTGTATCATCAGCAAAAAGAATAGGTCTGGATATAGAGTTTATAGTTGCCGTCAGGTCATTGATATATATGAGGAAAAGCAAGTGTCCAAGAACTGAACCTTGTGGCGCTCCGTGATTTATGATACCCCATTCTGAATAGTTATTATGATTGGTATGGGGCTTTTAATTTATACTTTCTGCCTTCTATTATTTAGGTAGGATTTAAACCATTGTTCTTCTATATCTCGAATTCCATAAAATTTCAGTTTCATTAGTAATATTTCATTGTTTACACAATCAAATGCCTTGGCTAGGTCACAAGATATTCCACCCACATGCATTTTATTGTTAAGGGCACATACAATTTCATTTGTGAAACGAAATAGAGCCTTTTCTGTTGAGAGATTTTTTCTAAATCCAAATTGCTCCTCGACAAGGATGTTTGAGTTTAAGAATTTATTTACTCTCTTGCATATAACTTTCTCAAAAATTTTAGAAAATGTTGTCAGCAGTGAAATAGGTCTGTAGTTAGATATGCAGGATTTTTCACCCTTTTTATATAGTGGTTTTACTTTTGAATATTTAAGTCTTTCAGAAAACATTCCTACAGCCATTGAATGATTACAAAGATAACTTAATGGATACTTATATAATCTACGCAAGATTTAAGTACTTTAGATGAAATTCCATCATAACCACATGAATTTTGACGTGAGAGAAGTTATTATACTTTTAATTTCATTTGGTGTGGCAGGAATAAGATTAATATTCAGAAATGAATTAGGAATTGCTTTAGCCAAGAACTTCATTGCATTTTCGGTTTTTGGGGTTATGGTATCACTGCTGTTCATTCTTTCTACAATCGTTAAAAAGTAGGTATTAAAATAGTTAGCTATAAGTTTAGGATAATTTACTCTATTATTATTTATCATTATTGATGGACTTTCAGTGTCTCTAGATTGTTTGGCAGTTTCCTTTTTTCACAATTTTTAAAACAGTTTTTACTTTATTTTCAGACTGTACTATCAATTTATTCTTTGATGACTTGAGATAAAATTTTGCAATATTTTCTATAGTGTTGCTACTGTAGTGGGTTATTACTAGGCCCGCTATTTAGGTAAATAGCTCACTTATATTTACATGATGTTTCCATGCCTTTAGTTATCTATACATTGGTTTCAGACAATTCTTTCTCTGGTTTAGTAGGAAAACTGGAAATGTGTTCTAACCTGTAACTATCTACAAAAATATTATCAATGGCAGAGTTGGAGCTGTTTTGAATTCTTATGGGAAAACTAACTGTAGGTGTAAGACTAAAAGTTGCTAAAAGAGAATTTAGGCATCACTTACAGCAGCTTTCAGAGAGATAGTCAATATTTATATCCCCACAGATGACAAATTTTTTTTTGGTTTCTAAAGGTAGTCCATAATGCCTTGTTAATAAATGTTTCAAAGCCACCTGTTGCAGCTCTGTATATTGCTAAAAAACATAATTGTGAAAAATTTGTATCAAATTGTACAGAACAGCATTGTATATCCTGCTCTTTGCAAAATTGCATTATCTCTATCTGGCTAAATTTTTGATTATTTTTAACAAATATACTCACTCCTCCTCTAGCTAAATTTCTCCTGCAAAAGCTACTTGCTAGTGTGTAATTGTCTAAATTTACCTGTAAGATATCTGGTGCTTTCAAATGATGTTCAGTTAGACAAAGAATATGTGATAATTGGGCATTTTTAAGATAAATTATAAATTCTTCAGTTTTCGGAAGTCCTCTTATGTCCAGGAGATTTTCTTTCTGGGTGGTCTCTAAGTTTTGGGTTGAAAGGCCACTAATGTTCTGATGATATAAGATGAAATTTTTATTTTGATTGTGATCTAAATTTAGAAATGGCTTATCTACAGTGACTTGGGCTTTAACCACAGTATCGATTTCCGTAGGTACATAGGGGGCAGAAAATTATTATAAGATTTATATTTTGCTAATGCACCTACATGGCATATAGACGGGCAGCATAACTGTTTTTTAAGCGATGTATAAATTAATTTAGCGCTGAAAGCTGTATAACCTGCAACAAGCGAAGAGGCAAAGGCTTTAATACAAATGTATTCCGGTTAAGGTTATCTGTGGTCACTCTTCCCAAACACGTACGATACCACTACAACCTTTTTTAAACGAAAATCTCAGAACAACATACCTACTGCCATCTACAGATGCCACATCAGAGCTACTGGAAGAAAGAGGCTAGGAGAGAAAGGAAGTATGGCCAGACTTCTACTGCACCAATGCAATCAACGGAGACAGGACCGAACCAGGAAATACGTTAAACTATCACATGACTAGCTGTGCAGAGCTACCACCACAGACACCGCAAGAAGACATATCAACAAGAACCAGATGAGTTTTGCGTGTGCAAATTATGTGGGAAAGTGTGTAAAAGATACCGTATAACACAATTTGATAAGCTAGGGAAAACATAGACGGAATACAGCAAAGACTGACTCCTATTAACATTTGCATATTCCTGAGCATTTCTCCTTATATAACGAAGTTTATTTCTCATATGTTGGTCACATAGTATGACGGAAATCGACATAAAAGTATCAGATTTGACATTAGGTATGTCAAAATTTGATGTTTTTTGGTGGTGTGCGTATTACGGACGAACTCGAAAACTGCAGATAGAAATTTAGTGTGGTAAAGTATACAAATGATACATGGTAACAAATCCGTGAAAATTAATATTGTCAGAAGTATAAATTGCAATGCAACTTGTATTAAAGTATTCACATTCTTTTTCAGTTGTATCTATACATCCTACCATGTCGCAGTTCGATTTCGCGAATGAATTAAAGAACTGAGTAGAGTAGAGTAGAGTTTATTTACATTCCATAGATCCTTCTTAGGACTCAACCAAAGGATGTAGAACATGTCATTTCATACAATATACATACACTTCACAACTTTCAACACAAGTACAAGAACGTATTTCACATATCAATGTACATAAATTTCAGATTCTGCAATACAAGTATGAAAAATAATTTTACAAATTAATATACATAAACCTCAGAATTTTAAATATAAATACAAAACTTGCTTTAACATATACATAGATTATGGATATAAAGCTTAAACATTTTCAGCAGAGATGAAATCATCTACAGAATAGAAGG